ATGTCCAAACTCCACTTTTTATGTGTGCCCATCAAATTTCTCTTGAAGGAGAACCACTCAACTACCCAAAGAAAATATATATCAAATTCGTTAACTATTGAATAAAAAAATCAAGACGAACTAAAAGAACTAATTAATTTCCTTAATTTAATAGGAAGCCATCCTCTTCCATAATGCTTTACAGAAGGCAGTCAGAAAATAATTATTGGATAAAAGAGTTTGGTACTAAACTATAGCTAATAGAATAAAAAGTAAGTTTGATAGTAGTTCAAGTAAGATAAGAGCAAATCAAATTGATTTATCTCCTTCTCACTTCTTAACTCATGCGTTCTTCTCCTTGTGCTTCCTGATCAATCCCGTTCATTTGTGATGCGCATTCACAATTCCTATCAAGATCAAACCCGTTTGCGTGTGGTGTGTCTTCAGCTTCAAAGACTCTCTCGTTTTGACATGTACCCTCAAAGACAGTCTCATTGTGTCCAATCAAGGTATCTACATCAATATCCTCTACATTTTGCTCCAAGCCATTGTGATCTTGTCCACTCATGATCTCTTCTTCTTGATCCACATCACTCTCTGGTTCTGTGTCGATCTCCTTAACATCTGCAGTGACTACCACTTCTTTATTGTTCTCACTGACTTCATGAATTCGAACCGATGAACTTTGAGGCGCAGAAACACGGACAGGTAGTCGTCCAGTGTCCCTCTGTTGCAAGTTTTGTTGCACCCCATACGTTGAAACATAGAGCGGTGGATAGGTCTGAACAAATACCAAAAACCAGAAATTTTTCCTCAAAAGTGTTTAGTTGTAAATCCAATTAAACAAGGATACTATTATGGAACATAATTAGTACTAACCATGGCCATGTATGGAACGCTAGGCATGTAACGAACTTGTCCATAATTTGGATTCCTAGACATTAGAAAAGATATTAGATTAATTTTATTCATCATAGTCAAATACGATGTTTAACTTTAGTTTTAGGGAAATTATTACCAGTAAAATGGAGGGAAATATGGATTTGGGTATTGAGGAGCTAGCGGATATTGATGCGGTGGCACCTGATTAACTGGACATACAATATTATGAAAATTAATAAGCTGTTAAATAAAAGTTTTATTACAGAAAACAAAAACAAAAAAGAGAGAAATTTTAGTTTAGAGATTTATTAACCGTTGTGATATTGATGCGATGGTCCTGCTCCTGGAAGCTTAAAGGTTATGGAAATTAAGAAGCAGTTTAAGAAAGTTATGTTACGAAAAGAAGAAGAAAAATTAGTTTAGAGATTAAACCGTCGTGGTTAGTGTTGTTGTTGTTATTCTTTGCACGAAGGTAAGCTAGATTGATATTGGCTCTTCTTCCATCAATAATCGGACTCGGATTTGCCAAAGCTCTATCTGCAGATTCAGCATCTCTAAAAGTAACCTGAAATATTCAAATTTCATAATAAAATTTCAGAAAAAATAAAATTAACAATTCAATCGATTTGTCATCAACATAACGGTGAAATCATGAAATTATATAAAGCCCACATAAGAAGCAAAAAGCCCAATTACAAAACAGACACAAGAAACAGATCAATTCGTTCGATTAAACCTAAAAACCCTAAAAGCCCAAATCATAAAAACAAAACAAGAAATCGATCGATTAGTTCCGAACAAACAAAAACATGTATGAGATTTGCAAATTCACAAGAATCAATCAGAAAATCTCTGCGAAATTTTTGCAAGTCCCACAAATTCTGACAATAATCGAAATTCAC